CGGTGAGCTTTACATACAAATACGTTTTTTTATCGTGCAATCTATACAATCTATACCAAAATTCCGAACGAGTGTGCGCCGGTCAGTAAATCGGGGAACTCGTGGACCCTTTAAATTGTCGTTATTACGGCGCCGAGCAAGACCGCTGCCGTCCTCCCCCGCTCTCTCGCCTGATGGGGGCTAAATGATGTGCAAATGAGCGCGATGTGCCCCCTGCTGGTCTCCCAAGGGTCTTCCGAGGGCGGGAACTAGAGCCCACACCCTATAGCCACACAGCTTTAGATGGGGCCCCCCCTCGGTCGTAGTGGTATACGCATGTCCCGCCCACGGGAGGGGCCCTCCCTCCATGTCCCTCTTGGAACAGCAGAAAAGGTACAGGAAAGCGGCGTACATCGGATTTACCTGATGTATGCCATACATGAAGCCATCTCCCCTCCTGCCAAAGCGCATCACTCCGGCACCCACTCCTGCTGTTGCTGTCGTTGTTATCGTTGTTCTGCCTAGTGCCGTCCGGTTGCGAACGCACTTACACACTCTCTTGCCTCACCTGACGCACTGCTTTTACCGCACATCTCACACGCCCTGCCCCCAAAACCTATTTCCCAAGCCCCCGGCTGTTACGACAACTCGCACGCTACTCCCCCAATCCGGACACAGCGCTGCAGCGGAGGCGGTGGCTCGGCGGCTGCGTGAGGGCTTTTTGGAGGACTATGGCTGCGTCATCCACCCGGGCAAGACACAGCTGGCCAACTTCCAACTGCCTCCAAGTACTGACCAACCGCCAACCGCCACGGCTGCTGCTGCCGCAGCAGGTGGCGATGCTACTGGTGTCGCGGGTTCATGTGGTACCAGCAGAGGCCCCCAGGTGCATGTGGTGCAGCTGGGTGGAGCTGAAAGTGGCGACGGAGAGGACGGAGCCGGCGCAGCAGCTGCTGCTGCTGCTGCTGCTGGTGAAGGGTGCAACGTGTGGCAATCTCGGGACGGCCGGCGTTACGTGAGGTGGGAGGTGTGTGGCTATGCGCGGTGATGTGAGGTCTGTGGGGCTTTTACTGACATCGACGTGGGACCCCTGAAGGCCCCCAAACGGTGGGAGCTGAGAGGGACAAGAGGGGCCAGGCGGAGTGCCACCTCGTCGGTGGCGAAGGACTGGACCTAGATCGTAGAAGCCGCAAGCCACAAATCCAAAGCGTTCCTGTAAAGTCGTGGACTGCTTCCTCGCACCCTGCATTGCTCTCCTACAGTCGGCACCTGCTCTCCGCCGTCAGCTCTCCCCCCCCCCTTGACCAGGTGGTGCGGGCTGCTGTTCAATGTGACCACGATGGAGGTGCAGGCCGACTACAGCCGCTACAGCGGAGTGCACATCAGCAGCACCATGAGTGTGCCCGCGGATAGCCACCCGGGTGAGTGCGTGCGTGCGTGTGTGTGTGTGTGTGTGTGTGTGTTGGGGGGGGGGGGGAAGATCATATGCAAGGGAACCGAAGGTGAGCTGGTGAAGGGGGGAGGGCGAGGGGATCGCTAAAGGGTTGGTTGGCGGGTCTTTATGAGCGCATGCGGGTCCTAGCAGGGCTACCATCTGGTGTTAGAGCTCGGTTGCCTCTGCCCCGTAGGCCCGCCCTGGCGCGCCCTTGAGTCTCTAGGTCCGCCGCCCGCACTGCCCCCAGAGTCCTCTTCCTGCTCTTACGCCCAGATCTCCCTCCCGCCGCCCCACCTCACCCCGGGGTCCCTTTCTCCCCCTCCCCCTCCCCCTCCTCTGCCCCCTTCACCCGGACCCCAGGACGGCAGCTGGTTGTCAAGATGTGTCAGTACCTGCGACCCAAGGCGCACGCGCTGCTGCTGGACACCTCGATTAACTCGCCCAATACGGTGCGACTTAACATTTACCAGGTGGGGAAGGCGCAGGGGGGGAGAGAGGGGGGTACTGGGTGGTGTGAGTGAGTGAGTGAGTTCAGCGAGGGGTGGCAGGGCGGTCGCGCTGGCCTGAGCGTGTGCCTGAGCCGGGGGGGTGGGGGGGAGCCGCGGGGGCTCTGCAGGGGTTCTAGAGCCGGCAGAGCCCTCCCGGTCGTTGATTTCGGGTTTGCAAGATTGCTTAGTAACGACGGGTGCTGTACTCCAGCTGACGCGAAGGCATGGAGCGCTCCTGAGCTGCGAGAGTCTCCCGACCGCCCCAATCCCGTTTTGCGCCTCAGGAGGAAATGTCAGGGCTGGGACGCAAGGACGACACGCCCGGCCCTGGTAATCCTCTTCCTTTGCCCCCCAACCTCCCTGAGCCATTAAATTTTGAGCCTTGACTCTTCTGCGCATTTTTCCGCATCTAAATTTACGCACAGACGCAAATTTACATACACATCGCCCGTACCCGTTCCGACTCCTCTTGTGCTGACAGTCGTACCTGCTGGCCGCCATTAAGATGCACTGGTATGTGCGCTGCCTTCCGAGGAACCTGTCTCACGACCCACGGGTCGTTTTGTCAGCGATCCAGTCCGGTATCGCGTACATGGTCACACTGGTCCGCAGCCGCACTGATAACGGAGTGACGGACCGGAGGTTTGGCCCCGGGTGCCGCTGTGGCGTGTCATCATGCCACGTGCGGTAAGTGTGCGACAGCAGGGCACATGCAAATGTGGCGCGACGGCATAAGAATCAGGAAACGGGGCGCAAAACGGCGCGCCAAGGGACAGGACCTCCAAAAGCGCTTTAAATGAGACTGTTGGGCGCGCATTTTATTGCGCGATGTATTGCGGCCTTGAATGCATTCCGTTTTTAGGATACGAATCCATGCATTGCAACTAATGAATGTATCGTGTTACTGGGGACCTGAAATGGCTGCCAAGTGCATATACCGGTAAGCACATACCGCACCTAACAGCCGTGCAGCTCGTCACTATGCTTCCGATGGCCTCCTCGGTCACCCCCCCCATTGTGTTTCACCCCATTTTTCTGCAGTTGGCTTGGTCTGGTCGCCTTCCGTCGTGTTCTCCTCCGCAAGCAGAGCCGCTACAGGCTGGTGCTGGCCTCCCTGGAGCAGCAGTTGGCTGCACCCGCCTTCGCCACCTTGCCCTCTCAGCTGGCGAGGGTGATCAGCGAGGAGGCAAACGCGGTGTTCAGCGCAATCAGATACTGAGGAGGAGGAGGAGGGGGAGGAGGAGGAGGTGGGGGGAGGAGGAGGTGGGGGGAGGAGGAGGAGTTGGGAGGGAGGAACAGGGGGCGGAGGAGGAGGCGGTAGCAGAGGCTGCGGCTGGGAGGGCGAGTGGGGGAAACCATACAAGGACAGAAGCCGCGCCGGAGGAGAGTAGCGGGAGACGGGAAGTCTTGGAGCAGTGGAAGGTTTGGTGGGGCAGGGCAGAAGTGGCAGTAGCAGATTGCTGCGTGCGGAAGTAGCAGCAGAGGTGGAGGGCCCGGGGGCTCTGCAGGTGGGCTGCTGGGTGCTTTGTTGGGAAGGGCATATATGCATGTACGGGGCCGGCCAGTGGGGGATACTCCGACTTTGGTGCATTGGACGATGTTAGCGGCGCTGATGCCCAGCAGTAATCTGGCCCAGCAGGCTCGTGGCCTCATTCCCTAACAAACACACTCAGCTGTAAACACGGGAAGAGACATATTAATACAGTTACACTGTCTGCGCAGGTGGGAGGGGTCTGTCAAAGCATAGCAGTAGTCTGCCGTACGCACGTGTTTTGTCGATGCTACAGTCGTATGACGCGACATTCAGCCCCTTGGAGCCGTGGAAAGGGCTTCATGCGGTGGGGCCCCTTGTATGTGTCACGTGGGATGTAACACAACCAGGGTCATGGGGGGCAGGCGATGGGTGTTTGGAGGCTCGGGAAGGGAGTCTGCTCTGGTCCCGTGGCAACAGGAGAACCGCTGCAAGAGTTTAAGAAGTTAGCCCACACCCCGCGCTACACGGTTGTCGCAAGGGTTGCGGTCATCGGATCAACCTTGGACGTGCAGGGGCTGCCGAGAACGTCGTTGAGGATTGAGCAGCTGCTATGACACGCATGGGGGTGCTTACTGGTCTTGTGCTTTTGTGGCGTAGTTCGACCCGATAGCACCCGGCGGATGATGCGGCTGCAAGCCGATGTTGGGACTGCTGGAGACTGCCCATGCATATGACACCAGGTTACCGAGCGCGATGCGGAGCTGCTGGCGGATCTGATCTGCGCTGTGATCTGAGAGGTCGTTGTCGCCGCCCAGCTTAGCTGTACAACTGTCCAACAAATCCCTTACTGCGGCCCTGCTAAATCCAGTTATCATCTCGGTCTCCAATTATACCGGATGCATATGATGATACACCCCTAAAACTCTAAGCCATCGGCGGAATGTATATAATTGTGCGGTGATGTTGCGGCCTTAAGGGTCGGGTTGCGTACCGTGTCTGGCAACACGTTGGGCTGCTGGGTACATGGTGACGTATGTGGTTAACGCAGCGGCAAGAAATAAAACGGAAAACTAGTGGCGGTGCGGACCTCTGTGTTGGATTGGGTGCGGTTTTCCTAGATGCCAAGGGAAAAGGGCCCCTTTTCCCGGCAGGAGTGATAGCATTTCAAGCCGAGGACAAACCTTTCATCGCATGAAATGCATGGTCCGATGCAGGAGATAGCCCTAGAAAGCCGGACTAGGGTTCGCAGAAGAAAGGGCTGGCCACAGGAGGCGGGTCTTCAAGACTTGGCATACCGCATTCTGACCATGTACTATGAAAACATACGGTCATGTTAGGAAAGCGATATTGGCCATTCATTTGACACAGGTTCACCCTACATCAATCGAGGTGTTGATTTCTCTGAGCAGTCGTGCACTGCAATCGTAAGGTCGTGTGCAATAGATTGGAAGTCGCTCGTTGCTTCGCAAGCAAATTTTACGTCGGAGCCAGAACGGCTACATGCTTCACTCAAGGAGACGGTTAGCAACCAACGCCCGTACGCGGGGAAACCGGACAAGAAAGCTTCTGGCCTTTCATCGCGTTTCAACGCCGTAATATGTTACTCCTGTAAACTATGTAGCCGATGGCCATGGGAATACGCACCAGTAAAGGTGGCGAGCAAGACGAATGGTGAGGATGGCGGGGATGGCGTAGGAGCACATATGGGAAGCTCAATGTCTCCGTCACCTATAGACACCTGCGATTCATGACTCTATTTAGACATCCCGCGCAGCGGTCACGCGTTTCTTACTGCTGCCGTGGGCGCGCAGTGCAACTACTGTTCGGGCACGAACATGTCCTCAACTTACGAGTGTCAAAGGCTTAGCCGTGGTTGCTTCAATTCCCCATCCATGTAGCATCCCCTGTTCCGTCGCCTGCAGCGACCCCGCCCATCGCTTTCCTTCCTGCCCCACGACCGCCCCAACCACACGCTCGAGCACCTGGGCTTCGCCCACGCAGTTTCCGGGCCCAACCTCATCGGATCACGCGCCATCATGGGTAGCACCACTTACCCCTGCAATCCCCTGCGGGCCCCAGGGCGCCGTTCTTACAGGCCGCATTCCGAGTCGCTGAGCAAGCGGTGGCGCAACCCGCTTTCCAACAGGTGAGGGCAGAGGGATCATTGCAGACACGGCGGGAAGGGGAGAAACCGATGGTGATGCCCCGTCACTTGCAGCCATGTACTGTATACGCGCTTTGTCGTGAGTCGTGGTTGTTGTTTCGCTCAGCACGCTCCCCGCCTGCACCCTCTCCGTAAGCGGCTCAAGCCCTGCCCTCCTCCCTACCAACCTTCCCATGCCGCCAATGACTTCTGTTGCCATCCTCAACCCCACCCCACCCCCCTAGATTGGTGCCGCTGCGCTCCAGCTGGGAGCCTCCTGTGCCGCTTTCAACCTTACCCTCGCCATCACGCACGTGAGTACTGCAGTACAGCGAGTATGGGTATGGGTACCTTGCACAGGTTTTCCGCCACAGGTCTTCCGGGAAGCTCTTTGGCTTTGATGTACGTCATTGTACGGCTGCTCGCCTGTTCGCAAAGCAGCCCGGGCCTGCTCCGGTGGCGCTCGAGCGTGGGTTTGGGGGATTGCGGGTTAAAGCTTTCTGGCTGGTGTCTGTTGTGTTCCCCATTCCTCCGCCGCCCTGGGCACCTCTTAGGGTTGCGCATACACACACACACAGCCGGGGGCGGGCCCCGCGACATCACATCTCGGGTCCGTGGTATTTTGCCTTCCCCGCCCCTCAGGTGACTGCGGGCTGCCTGCGTATCCATTGCGCTACCCCTCTGCTTGGCCCGCTGTGGGGGGCGGCATCCGTGGCGGCGGCGTCGGTGGCGGCGGGACACGTCAGCCGCAGTACGCTGGCGGCGCTGCGTCTGTCATACTGCGATGCTGCCAGCGGCAGCGGCAAGGGCGGTGCTATCGCCAGCAGAACGGGCGTGGGCCTTACTCTCGCGCTTGCGTCCCTGCCTCGCCAGCTGCTCACGACCTGGGATGGGCGCGAGGCCCTTGTAGATGCGGTGGTGGGTCCGCTGCTGTACAAGGTGGGTACGTGGCCACGGGGGGTTGTGCCCTTGTGCTGCTTTCCTGTGGCGACTCGCGCTGGGGACTCTGAACCGGGGACTGTGCTCTCTGTGGGGCTGCCTTTAGCACCCGCGAGAGCGCCGGTGTTGTAATATATGACTGCTGGGGACTGGAGGGCCCTGGAAAGGCCATAAAGGACTCGGATGGAGTTCCGGACGGGACGCAGCCTCGGGTGGATAGAGGACTGCCTCACCCACTTCTGCCACCGTGTTGTGGCCTTTTGTGACCCCTTTGGGAGCCGCGTTGAGCGCCGCTACGGCCCTCCCAGCCGCCGCGCAATCATTCCCGCCACCTGCCCGCCACCCCAGGTCCTGTTCCGTCGGTCCTTCCGTCAGCTGCTTCCGAGCCACCTGGCGCTGCCGGGTGCCTTTGGCCGCATGCACATCCCCACCAGCTCGGCTGAGTACTCCACGGCAGCTGAGAAGGCGCAGCTGTCCGTCATATTTGGCCGGGACGGCTGCCACCATTGCGGTGAGGCCACCGGGGTTGACCCACTCTCCGTGCGGAGGTGATCCACTTACCTCCGCATACCTAAGGTGTGGTTTGGTGTGGTGTGGTGTGTCGTATCCCCGCAGGCACCCACATCAACGGAGTTATCGGGGACCACATGCCGCCGTACAAGGTCGTACGCGACACGCTGGCGGCTCGAGAAGCGGCCAGCGGTTTGGAGAAGATGTTGACAAAGGTGGAAGGGGCCATTTCCCCTCCTTAGGGGGCCTATAGGGGTGGGGGGTGGGGGGAGGAGGTCAGGTGTCGACACATACATGTGTTTGTTACATGTCGATCCGGGCCTGACACTGGCCAGGGGCACCTAACCCGGTACCCCAACGGGAATGAGCGACCGCCGAAGCACTCTCCTCCTTGGGGGGGGGGGAGGGGGGCGTGAGGGGCCACTATCCCCTCCTGCTCGACCGAGGGCGTGCACCCCCGCGTTATCCCTTTTTGTCAAGAGGAAAGAGAGCGCGGTGGCTACTAAGGCCCTCAAACGACCAACCTCAGCACGCGCTGCGGTACATTTCCCCCCGGGGTCGCCCTACCGGCGCCTGAAGCCCGAAAGCTGAACCCTACAACCAAAGCTGACCACACTACCCCCATCTAAACGAACTACCGGGCAAAACCCAAACCACCACGCAAAGTTGTGTCAGGCCTTAGGGTTTGTACGGAGCTGTGGTATGTGCTTTCTTTCCCCCTTCCGCTCCCTCCGTCCGTATGATGCATTCTGCTCCGCTGTCTGCTCCGGGCCCACACCGCCCCGCCAACCTGCTTTGCTACTTAACATCCCCGCGGCAACCATTTCTCCATTTTGTTGCTGCTGCTATCTGTCCAATATCATGCTAATAAAACTCGCCCCCACAACACAACACCCGGACCCGCGACCAGGCCGCGGACTTCCTCGGGCTCAAGGATGAGACTCTCAAGCAGGTGTACTACGCGCAGTGCAGAGCATGCTCCGGTCACCAGGCGCAGCTGATGAGAAATGGCACCCGCGCGACGGCCCTTCCCCGTGGATTGTGGCCCCCCCAGCTGGTGGTACACAGCCCAGGTCGCCTGGCCACACGACCCGCGACGTCGGGTGTGCTCGTCGGCTTACGCTACTACGTTGCTGCCGCTGTTCGGGAAGGTCGAGGACCAAGTAACGAAGGCGGCAGCGGTGATGTGGTGATGGAGGCAGTTGTCGAGAGCAAGGGTGGGCGTGGCAGAGGCGGCGGCGGCGGCAGCGGCGGCTGGCGGTGGCTGTGGGAGCAGCGGCCGCGGCGGTGGTATGATAATGATGACGATGATGATGGTGATGGGGAGGTGGACGGAGAGGTGGAGGGGCTGTGTGGAGGCAGCGGGGGGGAGCTGATGTTGTTGCTGTCGGGGGAGGGGGCAGCGGACTGGGCTGGGCCTGAGGGGTGCGGCGAGCTCCAGGGAGCCTGCCGAGGGTTTCCGGATCTATTCCAGTGCGCGCGGGGACTTGGCAAACCCGTGTGCTAACATCTTTGTTGCCGCGGGTCGTCCACTCCGCCTTGCGTGGGTGTGGACTGCATGGACCAGTGCGGATGATGGGCTTCTTATGATTTGGCTTCTTAGTCGAGTGCGTGCAAAAGCACTGCATTGTATGCATACGGACCCGCCCGTGGGGGCGACCCTTTATGGGCGGATCCTTTATCTCGGTGGGACACGCGTCATGTTCGTACTTCCACCGGGGATGTGCATGAGCGTTTTCGTTTTGAAAGTGTGCGTGTGTGTACGTACGCACTGCCCGCGCGGGCAGCCGCCCGAGAAGGGCTGGAAAGGTTGGGTCGCGTGTGCAGGAGACAGCGGACAGACGGAGGCAGCTGTGCATGCAAGGTTGCCGTACTGTGTACAGCGGTACTGCGCAGCTCACACGTCAATGGTAAAGCGTGCATCACGGGACACGAAGGCCGCGTTGTCTGTCTTTGTACTCCTTAGTGCTCATGATTATGAAGGGCTTCCATACGCGTTCTTGTCACGGACTCTCAAGTACGTCTTCTGCTTTTTTCTCTTCGCGTATATTTTAGTGCACTGTACAGGAAGAAACTTGGATTGCGACCGAATCGTTCTATCTGTGTAGAAATCCTAAGGCGTCCATCCTTTTTAAGGGGAAGATGATACGTGTTCGGAGAGAGTGAAGCTGAGCGTGCGACCGCGGTGGGTGGGTGGGGAGGCCCATCAGGAGGAGCGGGGGCGTCGACTGAGAAGGTTGCATGGCATGGGATGGCTGGGTGAGGGGGTTTGCGGATGTAGCAGCTGGGCCAGGGGCTGCCCGTGAGGGCCTGGACGGCTGGCGGGGGCATCGCGTAATGTGGGCAAGCAGGTCTGATACGCGCGGGGCTGCATGCACATTCATTCCGCATGTTTGCGCGGTGTACTGGGTTTCCTTTCTTTTTGTTGGAGCACTTTTGGTGCTGGGATTCTTTTATATGTTTCAATATGAAGCCAGCTTAGGACTCCAGGGAAGATGTACGTGTCTAATCGAAGCCCATGACTGAAGTGAAGGAGAGGCCCCGAGGGTTTTACGGAAAAACAGTGCCCTGCCAAAAACCGACATTCGCACGACCAGCGGTAACCCTAGGGATTCCGCTCTCAGAACCCCTTCGGGCTCATGCGGCTGGGACGGAAAGATCTGGAGACGAGCTGTCGGAACCGGTTACATGCGAATGTGCTGCATAGCGAAGTACGAGTGTACACAATGCCCAGCTAGGCAGAGTTTGTCAGGACTTCGTAATACAGGCGAGCAGGGGAATTATTTTTGTGGGAAGAACACCAGCTGCTTTTCGTGGATTACTGTCGGCGGTCGCTGGGTTACTCAAAAGAACCACAGTCGTTACTAACCAATCACACACGCATCACGCACATCATTACGTGGGTGTAATTTCTAGGGTAACATCGCATAATTTTGAACACATAGATGTAATTTAACCTCTTTGCATTATTTACGAGGCGATTGACGATGATTTGATGAAAGGGGCCCGTAAACTGAAAAGTGAAATGCATTAGGCAAAGCACCAGTGATTAGCTTTCAGGGATGCTATTGGCTCGCAGGCTCGCGATCTCAGCAGCAAGCTCCCATCGAAAGCAGTCCCTCGTGCGCAGTTGGCGCCAGAGGCTAGGTCATTCTGCTAGAATGGCGACGAGTGTGGAAATCTCTGCGTTGACACCCGCTGGAGGTTCCGGCAAGACGGACCCTCCTGAGCCAAAGGTCTACAGCGACCGATGGGAACTCATTTGGGGAGCCGGCTTGGGGCGCGGAGAGGCAGGTGTTTCAGAACTATTACCGCATCCTTGATTTGATTATGTTTTCCTCCAGGTTGAGACGCCGAACGTATTCCTTCTGCTGTGTTGTTTATGGCTGCCGTATATAACATGTCTGCTACTTCTGTACCTGCTGCCTGCCCTCCTTCGGTCGCAGCGTTGGGACGCCGCAGCAGCTTCCCCCGCCCTCGTGGACTTGATCAAGTCCGGAAAGGTCGATGTGAAGGGAAGCCGTGTGCTGGTGCCCGGATGCGGGTGGGTGAGCCCGCGCGAAAACCATTCGGGTGGGGTTGACAGAGCGGACTGTCTAGAGGATGGGAAGGAGCCCCCTTCAAGGAGGTTAGGACATACGACTGCAAGCTAATATTGGATTGTGTTCCTGTCGCTTAACCTGCACCACTGCATGCCTCCTTAAATCCTGATTACTGGGCCGTGTAATCTAACCTAACCTAGCCTAGCTTAATCAAATGATGCCGCTTCGCTAATGTTAGACCCAATAAGCTAGCTCGCTTCGCTAGTCCTGTGCCAAAACGCCTTAGCCTCACGTTGACCCCGCTTCTACCTTTCCTGACGGGGTTGGGCCAAGTGACATGTTCAAAACATAGGCGACTGGGCTGGGGCGCTAGCCCCAGGTGGGTACCCCCCCCCGCGCGAAAGTGCTGCAGGCCACTGCAGCTGCTGGTATGTGATGCAACCGATGTTGGAGGCGGCGTGCGCGACAGGGAGTCGCAGGCATGCGCCAGGTTGCGGGTTGTGGGGTCTTAGCGGCTTAGGTTGTGGGTATCCAGCGGCGCGGTGCGGGTGGAAGTGGTGACGGTGATATGCGACGGTAGTGGTGGCAATGGTAAACCTGGAAAATGTCCACACGCCTCAATGCACTGTATTCCCTTCCTCTATGGGAGGACGGACCGCGCCCAGGTGTGAGCTACACAGGCTCCGTCCTCCGGTGATTCACTTTCCCCCCCTAATAGAACGGGTTTCTTCAGGTAAAAAAAGCAAAATGCTTTTTCCCTAAGGAATGGAAGCACCCAACATACGCCCGGGCTACCCTGCCGCACCCGGCGCCCCCTGGCAGACGCGGTTACGACCTGCCCGTGTTCCGCGCGGCTGGTGCAGCGGAGGTGGTGGGGCTGGAGCTGGCGCCCACGGCGGCACGGGAGGCGCGGACCTATCTAAGGGAAGCTGGCGACGCGGGGCAGGAGGTGGAAGCGGAAAAAGACTCCGGTGCTGGGGCAGAAGCGGAGACGGCTGGTGTCGAGGGAATGCGCGTGGAAGAGGGCAATTTTTTCCTGTGGAGCGACCCGCGGGTCGGTGATGGCAACTGGGACGTGGGCTTTGACTACACGTGAGCATTGGGGGGTTCTGGGACTGGGGTTGGATCGATTGGGAGGATGTTGAGTTTTGCATTGGATAACGGGTAATGGTGGCTCAGCTCTGGGGCCTGATGCTTTCCCGCTGAATGATAGATACATGGCATCATGACCGTCAGGCATACCTGCCATCATTACCTTCCACGGCCCCGTTCACGGCAGTACGGCGCTGTCTCTGACGATGCCGTGCCGTTACCTACCTCCGCAATAGGTTCGGCTGCGCCATGCACCCCGGTGACCGGCAGCAGTGGGCCCAGCACTGGTGTCGCCATGTGCGGTCGGGCGGGGTGCTGGTGACGCTGGTGTTTCCAGTCAACCCGGAGGCGGACCCCGAGGCGGGGCCCCCCTACCCCGTGTCTCCGGAGCTGTACACCCAGCTGCTGTGTCCGCAAGGTGAGACGGCCTCACGTTGAAGGGCCTGAAGGAGGCCTGGGCTACCGGTGGTTACCGCACTGAGTACGGAGTAGGTGGGGGTTCTGGTCCTAGGGTTCGGAACTGGAGGGAAATTTTCTTTTAATCTGCAGGTTGCATGAAGAAACTAACTGCCGATGTTTATTGAGGGCGGGTGTAAGGGAGGGGTGCCTTAGTCGCGGGATGGCTGTGGCCCCCTGTGCACAGTATTGCCGGTTGCTCCCTTAAGTGCCCTGTGTGGGGCATGGCCTGGTACTTCTCCGTTGCTAAGGGTTGGTGCCCCCGGTGGCGCTGCTGCTGCCTTCTCCCCTGTTTCAGGTTTTGAGGTGACGTATCAGGAACCCGTGCCGGCCGAGCTGAGCCATCCCTCCAGGGTGGGGCGTGAGGTGATGATGGTGTGGCGGAAGAAGTGAGGCCCACCTGGTTCACCGCCACGTGGCGAGTACGACGGCCAGTGCTGTGTGGCTTCCCAACGACGGCTCCGTTAATCGCTGCGGACACGAAAGCTGGGGCCCGGATCCCGTACAGTGGCCCCGTACAGTGACCCGTGGGTCGCGTGATGGGCATTTCTCGAACAAGGACGAGGCAATGGAGCTGCTTGCTGCTTGCACCAGTTGCGAGGCACGGTGGTGCTGATGGTGTGACTCCGTTTACGGTAGTCAAAAGTTGCTGTGAAGTAGTGAATGCATTAGTGATAAGCTATGAATCTTAGCTGTCTATGCTGCTGGACGGTGTACTCGTCATACGTGATGGCGGTGGTGATGGCGGGGACAGTTGTGGTGGGTTGGGGGCGGGTGCGGGGCCGGGGAAGGCCCCAAGGAGACGCGGACTGTAGGTACGAAAAGAGACGGTACTGCCAGCCGATCACGCAAATATAATAAAACGCAAGGAAAAAAATCCGATCCGTTTTCTTGAAGATGCAGAGGAAAAAACTGTTGCCGGTAACAGCATATCCAGGCCGGAAAACATAATCCAACTGGAATCAAGACTAAAAACTAGCACCCAGAAAACCTCAAGAGGGTGAAGACCTCAAAGTAATGATGGAAACGATGAAAGTTCTGTCTGCGGCTCCGGTGCCGACAGGGCATGCGGGTCTGATGCGGGTGGCTTCAGCGCCGGCGGGGCATGGAAGTCTGTCGTGGGCGGCTGCAGCGCCGGCGGGGTGGGCTACTCGTGAACGGGTCCAGCGTGCGACGGTGGCAGCTCGAAGGTCAGCTGGGCAGGCAGGTCCGATGAGGCCTCATCGGGCGGGTACATGAGCGATACATTATGCAGCAGCAGCAGTTGTGTACACGACACTCGATTGACTAGAATATCAAGGCTAGTGCTGGGGAATCGGGGCTTTTTTGCAGAGTTGTCCATGTTGGGGTTGCAGTAGTCCGGGAGGATGGTGTGTTCAGACTGCCGCACGCTTGCTTGCCGTACATTGCTTTTGGATACAGCACCAAGTCAGCTGACAGTGGACGCTGGAGGCGGAGGCGGCAGTGGTGGTGCAGACTGGCGGAACGCGCAGCAGGGCTGGGGAGGCGGCAGCAGTGACGCTAACTGGTGGAAACGGTGGTGGAGCTGAGAGGGAGGCAGCGGCGGTATTCCTGGACGAGACTGGCAATGTTGATATGGCGGCGGGAGCAGCGGTGCTAACTGGAGGGACCGGTGGTGAGGAGGCTGGGGAGGCTGGATCAGGCGGAGGGACGACATAAATTGCAGGCACGGAACAGGGTCGGGCACCTTTCCAGTTGGTCTTGGGGTTGGGCGACTCAAGAAGCCGCGTACCACCGCTGATCACGGTGTGATCACTGGTGGGGCTAGCAGAGTGAAGGCAATTGTGGCAAGGCTGGGAGTGTGGTGTGAAGGCACAGATTCCCAACGCTTGTATGCTGTTCTGCAAGGAGCAGCATGAGTTGGCAACTACTCAGGGCAAGCACCACCATTCATGTCAAGTACGGGGTGCCATCGCGTGCTGGGCAAGCTGTGGTCGGAGTTGGCCCTGGCGAAGAAAAGGGCATATACGTTGAGAAGCATGCCACTGTTAAGGCGGCTAAGGACAGCATCGATACCTGAGGCCAGACCCTTGCCTTTCTGTTGCACAATGTGTCAGCAATCAGGCTTGGTGCTGTCGGGAGATTAGGTAACGAGGGGCCTGACAGCTGGGTGGCGAGAAATCCGGGGTGACGTGCTGGGTGCGGGTCCAGGGGACGCTGCGGAGAGTCACCTTTTGGGCAGCCTTCACAGGCGGTTTGTATGTATCAGGGTGCACCAGGGTGACTATTGCCTCCAGGCTGCCCCGCAGCTCTTGCTCTTTCACGTATTGTCGCAGCTGGTCCAGGTCGCAGCTGATTCGCTTCCTCTTCTGCACAGCAAGCCAGAACTGTGCGGCCTGGACCACCGTGCAGCGACGCTGTGAAGCGGTCCAGAGGATGCACTCCTCACGGAGATACTTGATTTCTTACCAGCGCTGCTTGTACCCCTGCCGTCACCTCGGCTGGTATTTCTCCTCAAGTTGAAGCAGAGATGGATAGGCACCAGGGCGGCCATCGGTGAAGATCTGGAACAGCAACTGGATGTGCGAGAGATCTCTCCATGGCATGTGCCCTGGTGGCAAATGTGCTGAAGCTCGTCAACCTGCTCGTGCTGCTCGTCCTTCTCCCGTAGCTTGCACTTCTTGCTAGTCGCTGTATCAATGGATGCTGGGCTTTGAACAACACCAATAATGCCTGCCGCAACTTGAGGCATGGGCTGCCCGTAAGACAGTATCCCTTGGGTATCTGGAGCGGCTGGGTGTACGGCATCTGGAATGGCACCCCACCACAACCCCAGGCTGCCGCAGAAGGGTGGGAAGACCATCCGTCATCCTGCTCCGGGCCCTAGCGGTGACAATGCATACAGAGCTAGTAATGGAACTCCTGCAAAGGCCGTCATGGCCCCAGGCTGCCGTGGAACAATATGTACACCGTCCACCATCCCTGCCCCAAGCCCTGGCAGCAGCTGAGTATACAGCGGCTGGAGCAGCTCCCTGCCCCCCCGGCCCTGACCCCCTGCCGCCCGCCGAAGGCCTGCTGGGGGCCCAGCTGCAGACCCGCGTGCGCGCCGATGGCAGCTGGTGCCGCTTGCTGAATTTGCGCAATCTGGTATGGCAACATTGCCAGCTGCCTCTGAATGCCCTCAAGCAGGTCTACGTCGAGCTTACTCGACGTGCTGCCTGTGTCCGCTATGGATCCGCAGAGCCTGGAGGAGTCCTCAGGCAAGTATGTGTCGTTACGAGTGTCAGCCGTGGGGTCGCCACCTGGCCTGCAGCAATGGTAACAGTGCAGCAGCAGCAGCAGCAGCAGCAGCCGCCCCCACCCACGCGTACGATGCAATGGCAATGGTGATGAGCTAAGAAGGGCATATGTGTGCAGAACAAAGGCAGGGCCCAGAGCCGCACTCGTACCACACAAATGCGTTCACCACCCTTCAAGAAAATGAACACTCACCTTTCACCCTCACCCCAGGGCCCGCGCTTTCGCCACCTTCCATTCCTCCGGGAAAGTCAAGTTGCCATCCAATGGCAGTTCATCACTTGGGTGCAGCGGGCGGTTCTGTTCATACAGATCGCGAAGCGCCACGTGGCACTGCTTAAGTGTGGATATCCCCAACCTACGCGTAAGAAGAATCCAGAAATGAACGTGTTTTTCTAATGATGTCGACGTGGAGGTGCATCCACACGGTGCATCCAGACGGAGGCCTGACTTCTGCTCTCTACACCATGGACGGTGTAGGACGTGATAATATCAACTTGCTAGCTGACCAGGAACTAAGTTGAGGCGCCGTTGTTCCGCTAGATTTGGTTGGATGCTGGTGGTGAGTTGCTGAACCCAACGAATACATTCTGAAGTCGGATGGGGTGAACGGATTAGGGTGCCCCTCTTGTAGGGGAGAGCAGGGAACTGCCTCGGGAAAGGGGGCCGCTGGTGAAGCTTAACCACCCTGTAAACAACACACACGGAGCAGCCTTACCTTTCGTTCAGTGAGCCACTGGAGCCAACGCCGCCGACCTCCGCCAGCTCGTTGCCCACAAGGCCTCCTGCCAGCTTCCCGATGTCCTCCTGCCGCTGTCAAAGGAACTCCTGGTGGTAAAGGTAACGTGTGGGTGGCGTGTGTGTGTGTTACATGGTTGGGGGTGCGTGACCCCATACCTGTAAGACTACCCATACGAGACGAAGGCCCAAGGGCAATACTGCAACGCCTAAAAGCCACGGAGGAAAGGAAAACACCGCACATCAGCCCAGACTAGCGTCCAAAGGGGGTAATTGAGTTGGGTGGCGTGTAAATGTACAACATCCCCAGCATGTAAGATGGGCTTAACACAACAGGACCCCACCCCAAGCTCCGCTGACCTATGCTGCACAGAGCATCATCAGCAACTTCTTGAGAACCGTTATCATTACCCCGAACTTGTCAATCTGCATTCTGTACTGGTCCTGCCCCTGTGCGCGTCTTTCTGGTACCCATCACCAAGGGCCTCACGCATCTCTTATGTAAATACTTGAATTGGGGCGACCACGTCTGCGGCGCAACAGATGTGCATGCATTGGGGTGTACCGTGCCATCCACATACACATGCATTTCCACATCACATCCGTGCTTACTGCACCTGTGGCTCTCCCTCGTCATCCTCAACGGTGTCCTCCTCCTCTTCCCCTTCTCCCCCTCCTCCTCCCCCTCCGCCGCCGCGGGCCCACCACCACGGCCACCCCGCCGGCCGCAACCACCGCAACCACCGCGACCACCGCGACCACCGCGGCTACGGCTGCTGCGGCCACGGCCCCGCAGGCCCGTGCCACGCTGACCTTCTCCCACACGCGCGGTTCCGTGTCCGTGCCGGTGCGTGCCCATAGATTGCGTGAGGAGGGGGAAATGACGTCATCCACCATGGAACCAAGGCAAAGTAGGTTGAGGTAAGCTTACCGAGGCGGCTCCTGTGCTGCATGCTCCACTGCATGCTCGATCGCATGCCCCGTGGCCGCCACCCGTACGAGATAGTCGCCATTGAGTGCATTGTCATACTTCTGCTCCATTGCGAGCAACTATATGATAACTACGTTAGGAATGTGAAATATACCAAACCCCTAATATTTTTTAGCAGCCCCTCGCAGTAACGTGATGCACGGGCGACCGACCATAATAAACAATCCGTACACATCCCAAATGCGAAGGCTACGGCGGGCCGCGCAAAGGGCAGCCCTTAAAAGCTAGGAGCGCGGCGTTAGACAATGCTGCGGGTGTCCCACCCTACTTCTTCCTCACGCACCGAGAGGCAACAGATCCTCCAATTGGAGATGGTCATAAACCTATAATTTCCAATTTATCTATGCGGATTTAGCTCAGTTGGGAGAGCGCTAGACTGAAGATCTAGAGGTCGCTAGTTCGATCCTAGCAATTCGCACATTACCCTAAGAGAATTGAGACTTTGTGATTTTTAAGTGTCACACTGTACGGCCCAGTTGCAGTTGGAGTTGGCGGTGTGTGTATGCATGTGTGTGTGTGTGTGTATGTGTGTGTCCCAAAGATAAGGGAACACGCACAAGCCCGATCACCACTGCAGGTGCCCGGGATAGACCGGCGAGACCACAAAAGGGATAGCGCTGCCACGACACACAGCTCCTAGGGCTTCCTGAATACCGCAAGGGGAAGGTTCTAGCCCGCGCGGCGCCTCCCCCTTACCGTCACTAAACCGGAACGGTTGGTCCTCCAAAACCTATTCACCCTGCCTAGTACTGCACCAGTCGCGCAGAGAAGACGTGCCCAAGTAGGATGGCCCTCCTCGGTATTTATGTATGTTGTTACATGGTGGTATAGCTTCACCAGCGGCCCCTTTTCCGAGGCAGTTCCCTGCTCTCCCCTGCGAGAGGGGCACCCTAATCCATTCACCCCATCCGACTTCAGAGTGTATTCGTTGGGTCCAGCAACTCACCACCAGCATCCAACCAAATCTAGCGGATCAACGGCGCCACAACTTAGGTATGTATGTATGTCCATTACATTTGCGAAGTGGAGTGAACATGAAGTGAACCCATGTGTTACCCACCTTCAACGCCCGGTAGCCGATTCGTAACCCTAAGTAAGGCAGGTGGTACCTGTGCCCCCCACTGAAGCCGCCTTTCCTAGAGAGGGCAATAACGAGCGCCTGCAGCATGTTGTGTTCGTTCCGCCCGACTACACCAAGGCGGCTGTCTCGCTGGACCCTGTGAACCACATGCGACTGGCGCTGGTGGATGTGGGCGTCGGGTTATTCCAGGCCACCTTTGGATACGGCCGTGTATATGTGGGCCAGTCCGTCGGCCTACACCGACGCTTCTGCGCCCATGCCCGCTCCCCGCCCACATGCATGCAGCCTGACGCATACTAGCTGTTCCATCAGCACTTCCGCTTGCGTGTACTAATGTCGTGCCAGGATTCGCGCATGGCCGACATCATGGAGGCGGTATACATCGACACATTCCATGCACTGGTACTACAAGGGTGCACCACGTCCATGCCCAGCGCTGCATGCACGCCACGCAAACGGCACCAGCCGCACTCCACAGAACAATTGAACTGTTAGCAAGAAACCAACATGAAGGAAAGCTCGCGGAGACGGGGGAAGAAAACAGCAAACAAAAATGATGACTTCGGTAGCTTGGCTGCTGAGAGGGGCGTCCACTAGGTCGCCTGCTCCTGCGAACCTGCCACATGTAGATTCATGGCCGCATCTGCTTCACTACGCGCGTGTCCACGGCTAACCAAACTTGCATCTGCGACGTTGGTTTGCGAAGACTTTGTCAAAGGACGGCTGAACCCCCAGTTTAGACGACCTGTGCGTGACTTCTCGCCGCATTTGTGCTGGCAGCCTTGCGCACATTTGGCTCAACTTGCATTCACCACAGCCGCCCGCTTGCTTTGGTGCCTAAAGACCTGCCTACATCCCCGCCGCTCACTGCACAACCGCGCCCCAAAGTGCACCGCGGTTCTGCAAACTTTGTGTCATCGACGGTGCCGGGGCGTGATATATTTTCCCTACTTCAACGTGTGTGTAAACGGATGTGGCGTGCTTCCGGCCATCTGAACAAGCTGTCCATATCCACACTGGTGGCTTTCACCAACCCATGTAACATTTCCACATACGCACACACGCCGGCGCCTCCTATGCTGCAGACTGCGCACTATCATTCTCCCTCGCGCACGTTATGCACGGCAAGCCACTCCTGCCACCGTACGGCCGCACCCTACAAAGCCGCAATAAACGCAGCCAGCTGCTTCACCAGAAACATCCGAGAGTAGAGCTGGGAGACAGGCTGTGTACCCGGTTGAGGCGTAATGGAGCTCATTCACTCTTGACAGGTGTGAAGTGAATGCGACGCTGGTTACGGCTGGACCCGAAGCTGGTTATTTTGGTCCGGCAGCCGGTCCGGCAATGACCGCAACCGGTCCAGCCGTACCCATATAATCATCGGTTATATACTTTATGCCATTCTTTACCTTACCTTTCTCCTGCGGTTTACGAACTCTACAGGAAGCCGGTAAAAAATTATAATGATCTGCAAATCTTCTGTTTGCCATGGGTGATGTACGAACGGTCCCGTTTTTTGGGCGGAAACTGCAAGTGCCTGTCCGTGCTTCGTTACTAGCCATAGAAATACTCGTCTAGCGTTCCGCGCAGGCGTTTGAGGCCAGCTCCATACAAGTGGAAACACGTCGTCACCGTGGGAGCCCCAGGGGAATTCACATTCTATTTCTGTTACCATGTCTCCTCCATAACTGCCGTGGTTTCCACCACAAGCACAGATCGATATCAGCCCTCTTCAAAAAACATTTGCGCCATCACGACATTTGGACCAAACCGACGGGTCGCACAAAACAGCCGAGGCCCTCGCTGGCCACGAGAAACCGGGCAAATGAAGACAGTCGCTCCTCGTCAGTTTATAAGTATTGAAATGTTGTCCATGGGCAGCTGCCTGGCTGCTAGCTACGTCATCCTTATGAAACATCCTCAAGCGCGTTTCAACGCGTCGCGTTGAAACAGCAAACTTGGTGAACACCTGCTCGGGTCAAATGATGGTCATGTCACGTCCTACCAAGTCATGGTGTGTGACACACCAGCACCTAATAATCGTGTCATATACTGGGGACAGGGAAGCAATTCAGAACCAGTCCGGCAGCGGCATAACCCGTTGACTTCCCCCCGACATACCCGTTGACTTCCCCTCCCAGCACAGGACGCTTCAGAGTTTTCTAGAACCACTCAGCATCGCCAGCCATTTAGATTATTAGTAGTAATCCGCCGGCCCATCACACGGGACACCGTCCTCCTGAACGCGACCTGTTCACTGACTGCCACCACTGTACCGCCCGCCAACCGCTCCAGTCCAGCGCGTTATCACGATGCTGCCGGCGGCTTCCGTGCCTTAGGCCGAACCTCCACGTCCTGCACCGCCCGCAAGTAAATTGCGTCCGGAGGGTGGTCGCGCTCGCCCTGTTCGTACGCGTAGGACGCCGCCACCGCGAGCATCTCGCCGGTCCGCGAGAAGGACATGGAGGCTACCGAGGTTGGATAGCGGGCCGTCTGGAAGAGGCGCTTCTTGTTTTCACCGTCCCAAATGCAGATGACGCCATCGCCACCGCCGGTAGCGAAGGTGCCGTACCCTACAACCCACAGAGGACGGGACAATATCGGTTAGGAAGTTAAGGAGGCTGAGGCATGTGAGGGGATATACTCCAAACAGCGGGCATTGTGTGTGTATGTGTGTGTAAGACAGAGTTTTGCACGTCTTCTCGGGAAAGGAGTAACCAGTTGAAGGACAGTGACCAGGTGAAATGGGTGTGCGCGAATAGATCACCTTTCAGGACGGAGCAGCATGTGCTGAATGCTCGTCTCAACCATTGCGCGATATGGTTTCTATTTTCTAAGTGACGGCTTACTACATGCTGGCTCATGTCTGTGGTAAACGTGAATTGCGGTAACGTGAAAGTGTAAGGTAGTAAGACAGGAAACATCGCTACATGCGCATATATGCGCAATAAGCACCCACCCGTCCTCCCAACTATAGCACCCGCCAGGACGTAAGGACGCAGCTCTTCACCCACTCGAGCAGACAACCTGGACCGTATTCGCCCTTCCCTTCCCTTCCCCAGCAGCCGTCCCCCTCACCGGAGTGGAAGGCAATGGAGTGCACGGGGTACACGGTGTCCTTGCCGCCTTCGTTCCGCCGGTGACACTTAAACGCGTACTTATTGGCCTGTTAGCAAAACGGACGAAGAGGAAAACTCCACTCACCAGGACGAAAACCCGAAGGCAGGTGGGCCCGGGCAGTGGCACATTCTGTTTGGCGCTGTTATTTGCGAGGGCTGTGATTTTTATAATTTATTTAAGGGTAAGGATATGGGAAAATTAGCCCGATATTATTCAAATTTGCACCCGGGGGTGGTCACCGGTCAACCTCGGTCAACGCCCAGGGTAACTCCAGGTTGATCAGCGGTCATCATTGTGAACAGGGGATGTAACCCAGGGCATACGGGCCGTCTGCAACGTACCCCTTCCCCCCTCCGCCCCTCCTCCCTTCCTGTCGCATTAACAATACAGGAGGCCCAAGCAGGTAGAGCGCAGAGAGCGCCTGCAACAGCAGCACCTGTCATCCGATAGGTGCCATTTTGATTACGACGAGTAAAGGAACCCGAGCACGAGACGTGTGTACCCCCGCCCACGCAATTTCTAGGCGCACTTCTCCTCCGCACTTCGCTGGCTTTTGTGGCGGCCCCGCCCCCTATGCCCCACCTGCGCATCCGCTGCATCGAAGAACTCCATGGCCACCCGGCCCTCCACCGAACCCAGGGCATATCCCCGCCCGTCCGTGTACACCGCAAGCGAACGGGTCTGGAACTTGAGCGACGACTCGCGGTGCTGCTCAAGAGCCTCGGGGCCCTGGCCACCAGCCAACCTGGGGCCGCACCGCGACACCGGGCCCCGAGCAGGACAGGGAGATCGACGTTCAGGCGTGGCAGGAGGAAGAGAACCAGGAAAGGCACGAACGAAGGGCGTTGATATGAGCAAAGCGTCTTTCAAGCGTTTTAAAGCGCAAAGCGTTTAAGCGTTTAAAAAAACGGGGTCTCCTTCGGTTGTGCTGCTAACGGACCACCCGTGAACATGTTGGGCCCCATTGCCCCGCTCCCTGCCCGTCCGGGGATGTACCCACCAAGCATCTCCCATCCAACGCACCTGCGTATGTCGTAGATGAGCACGTGCCTCCCCGAGGTACCCACCACCAGCCGCTCCCTCCCCGCCGACATCGCGTAGACCTTGCCAGGCAGCGCCACTGAAGACACGCAGTTCTGGCTGGGAGCAATCCGTGGGTCCCACAAGCGCATCCCCTGGTCCCAACTGCCGCTCACCAGCAAGCCTTCCACAATGGAAAAGGAGAGCAGGAAAGGGGACAAGGGGGAAACATTGCATTCATGCCTAGAGGTGATTGGGCAGTTAGCTCTCGATGCCAGATCCAAGCAGAACCCAAATACGAGCATCACTGAGCCGGCGCGCAGTGCAGGTGCGTCACCTTCTGTCCCAGCCCCGCTCTCTCGAGCGCCAGTCCATACCCGAGTCCCTGCGGCACAGCCAAAGACGGATGCCCTAGAGCCGCGGCTCAGTCTACATTTCCCCAAATACTCCATACAGGTGACCTGTCAGCAAGGCTGATGCGCTTGCGTGGCTGAAGGGTGGAATGCTCCACTCGCATTCCGTCCAGAGCAGCCGGCCTGGCCTTTCACCCAGTCGACTGGCAAGCAGACGCACCTGGCCCGTGCAGGAAGATGACTGATTGGACCGCCTTTGCGTGAGTTCCGAGCACCGTCCCACTGGAGGTCTGGACGTCAAACCTGCGCACGGAGCAGAAAGGGGATCCCAAAGCGTGCAGAGACGGGAAAAGTGCCAGAAAAGAGGGCATGACTGCATTAGGGAGGAGCGGATTTTTCAGCTAGGAATGGATTGTGGCTGTAAACGATTTGGGTCGGGACGGGACTGCAGAAACGCGGTAACGCGATGCTAGTAGAGGAGGGACGGATCATCGCCCGAACTGAGGGCGTTGAGCAGACAAAGTGTAGAAATGGCGGGCGCTGAACCTCTTACCGCTTGACTTGTCCATCTAGGCCTGCCACATAGACAGCGTTATCAGATTCGAAGCAGCAGTCCAGCAAGGGTGCGTGGTGCGAGTACGACGCCCGAGGACGACGCGTGACTGCGTCGTACAAGTGTAGACTCTGCATTCGCGCCCGAAGGAGAATCATGATCGATGGGTGATAAATAAAGCTGGAGCTCCTTCCCTCTGTTATGGAAGCATGGCGGTTATGGGTGATCCCCCAACCCCATCCCGACGCAAATAGTGCATCGGGTCTGTGTCCGTGAGCGATCCATGCGGAGAATGGCGTGCAAGACTAGGCAAGCTAAGCATGACACGCGCAACACCAGCATCCTGCCTCACCTTGTCCCATGATGATGCAAGCAACAAGTCACTCGTTTGGCTAAATATGACACGTGAAATGCCATCTGCCGGTGGCGCCTCCACAGGCTCCCCAAGATAAGCCGCTGCAGCAGCCATTATGCCACTGGCCTTCCGGCAGCTGCGTCAGCGGTGTTCAGCAGCGACAGCCGCCCCAGCTCCCGCCAAAGATTTTCACAACTTTAGTCGTATATAACCATTTTTCCACATGACTACGTTATCAATTAATAGTTCCGTGCATCTAATAAGAGCCTGCTTAGCAATTTGGAAATATGTAAATTACCGACGACCGGTTGCCTAGCGTCGCCCGCCAAGTGGTTATAGACCAAGGCACTGGTTAAATATGTTCCTTGAATGTCCAGCTGCGCATTGCTGCTTCGGACGTGGTGGATAGCTGATTACGACTGATGACGATCATGCACGAACCAGCCATATACCGTAGTACGGAAAGAAGGGTTGGTGCGAACGTCTACGCAACCGTAAGAAAATTGACTGTTATCAGGAATGCAAGAGAGGGCTGTAACGATGCACATATTGATGGAAAGAAACTAGACAACTATTTCAAAGGGGACAGTGCGGGTTTGCACGTCAGCACACGAAATCTCATCCACGACACGCACAACCCGTATGTCCGGGTCGCATTCCTTAATTTGCCATCCCAGGGCAGGCAGGTTTGTATTATTGTATCCCTATGTTACCAGTCCCACTGTTATAACCACGCGCTTCCTAATTCTTCTTCGTTCCCATCATCCCCGTGCACATCCCGTGCCACACCCGCTCCAACCCCGTTCGTTGGCCATTGCTTTGCAGGATGTAGGCTGCAGTTGAAAGGACATAATATACTTCCCATGACATTTCACCCCGTAGCAGTCGTCACATAAAAGTTTCAGGAGTCGCCGATGTATGGGGGCATCATACCGGATAACGTACTTTCCACCTCCTGCAAAACTGGATGGGAATGCACAAAAAGACGCGATCTGGGGCAGCTCACAGCGCCTCGTCGGACACGCAGAAAGGTCAGGAAGAAATAATCCAATCTATCTCAGAAACGGTGAGGTAGATTGGACTGTGATAATTGTCGCGAGGTCTTTGAGGGCAAGGCCGGCTCCTGCGGGTTAACTCAAAGTCAGAGGGCACCTCAAGTCCCAACCCCTTCACGTCACGCCTGTTGACTGTCGCGATAAAGTAGCATACCAAGTTTCGCCTATACACCAGTTAACCCATGGTTAGTTGATCAGGCATAAGATGCGTTTGCCATCCTGCTGTTGCATCTTTACTGTAAAGATTCTCCTTCATTAGTTCTTTGAAATACAGTTGCTGTCCATGACATGGTTCGGCTCCTTTTTCGTGCTTGAATGCTCTTGGGCCTTATGAACCCTCGCAGCTTCCAAAACACCTAAGGTCTATGTCACAGCACATCACAAGTTTTGGACACTAAAATGTTTAGGTACTGTTGCATTTAAATTATTCGCGTTGTGCTTGGCTGTAGGACGCAACGGGGGAAGTTCATTTGCCCCCAGTTGTGAGTTGCGATGAGCGTGAAGTAGCAAGCCGTGTCATGGTCCTATATATACACTCATTTTCATGGGGATTATAGAAATAAAAGTTTTCGTGAAGAGAATTGACTCAATTTAACTGCACATCTACCCGAAAGGAAACCGCCATTTTTGCCGACACGCTGGCGACTCAAGACTATGTCGGACTGGACTTCAGATAATTTTGATGGCTCAGAGGTTGTGCGGCCTTCTGAAGAGGAGCAGACTTCTCACTTGCTGTCGCCTGAAGAGACACCGGGGGACACTGCTCCTGTGGTCGACTCTGCTCCAAGTGAACAGCTGCGGGAGATGGAACCCAGCCTTCAGCTGTATCCAGGGACTCCCGAAGCACCGTCTGAGAACAGGGGACCTGAGAACGCAGATGCTATCCCACCCGGCGATGACATCGACTTTCCAGCCGCGTCCAACTCCCCGGAACTCCCTGGAGCATCTGTTATGATTACCCATTGGGATGCGCGAGAGTCAGTGCCGCAGTCGCCCCGCTCGGAACCCAGCTCGCCCTTGTCCTACCCGGCCGGTTCCACACGAACCAGTTATGCGGGAGGTGAGTTGTGCGAGCGGCTGGTGTGCCATGCAGGTTATTTTGCCGCCTTAGTAGGATGTTAGAATGAAACCATCTTCAAATACTCGAGTTTTCCTTTTTCCCACCGGCTTTCGACATAGTTGCTTTCTACCTCTGCTACCTCTGGATTGCCTCACGCTTCCAGTAGGCACGGGGCATCAGCAAACGCCGGTCCTGCCGTTCTGCAATAGATTTTCCCTTTGCGGCTCTCCCTCGACCCGCTTGCCGCAGGTGCTGAGTCTCGCAGCTTGATACGCAGCCGGGAGCCCAGGGCAGACCTCAAGAACGGCGACGTCGTGATGTTGATGCATCAGGTAAGGACAGGGTGCTCTTGTCGGATTCTGACTGGTACCATGGCTCACACGAATGTATAGTCGCATTCGGTGTTGGATTGCTTAACTTGCTTTTAGTCCCCCTGGGTGTTGCCTTCTTCCCAAGCTGCGCCCTACTAGAAAAATTATCTAGTTATACCCCGACTCTGTCCCTATGACCCTGCAGGGTCGGCCATACATTGCCATCCAAGCCCGTCTGCCGTATAAGGAAGACGCTTTACACACCTGCTTGGAGCTGGCAGAGGAAGGTGCACAGCCGGAGAGCGAGGCGCTGTCGTATCTCGAGGTCATTCGGCAGGTTAGTCATGGATTCCCTGGACTACTGAGCCGCTCTAATTTGGGTTACAAAGCCGTAGCTTTTTCGCCGACTCACAATGATGATGGTGTGTGCTTAGGTTTTTCCCTCCTCAGCACCATATGGTGAAGCACGTTTTTGTGGCGCTTCACTTATCGCCCAATCCTTAAAAGGGTCGAGCTGGGCAGTGGCCGGGTGTGGGAGGTGTGGGCAGCGGCCGACTACTTGTGTCGCAGCGAAGCCTGGGTTCCCGACTTCGTTTACTTCATTACGTCCCCGCTTGAAACTTGTTCAGGGTCCATTTGTGGGCTTCCGGTCCGGAGCCGCGGGGAACCGCTTTATGCAGCCGCGTCGCAAGGCCCCGCATCGTCTGGTGTTCTTTAACCAGAACTTTGGCGTATGGGAGCAGTGGGACGTGAATGGAGAGGAGTGGCAGACGAAGCCCTGGTCAACCCTGCGTCTAATGCTTCGGAGCAGGCGCCTACCACAGGTGTGCGCGTGTGCCTATGGAAGCTATTGCTGCAGTGATGGTTATAGATCTTTTAGAGATGGAATTAGAGCTGGTATGGGCCCTGGGTTGCAAAAACCGGATATGTGAAAATGAATGGAAATGGCACAGGCATTTTAGGGGAGATGGGTGATGGCAATCTTGCTGCGGAGGCCGAGTGGCATGGTCAATAAAATCAGTAGGTATCTCCGGTGCATAATGCTCGCATCACATTGTGAGCCGAGGGATGGTGTTGTACTCAGGTGTTAATTGGGGCTCGTCGGTCCTTGGCATGGCGCTAGATCATGGAATGCTTACAGTTCTCCACTGTCTCGCTTGTTCCCAGGGCTTCACACTTTCCATTACTCTGCTGTGCAGGTTCAATTCTCCGTTGATGTGGTTCGCGTGGGCTTCTTCTCCGTTCCAGGCGTTGGTGGTCCCCGCTCGCTTCTGCCAATCATCCCGGAGGACCCGCTTCTTGAAGACCGCAATCTGCGCCGTATAAGTAACCTGCTTATCACGGTATGTTGCAAACCTGCTTATCACGGTACAGAACAGCGAACTGGAATAGCGCCTGTTCGTAGCAACACCCAGTTTTCCCCTAGCTTCCATATTTCGTGTGACTTGATTCCCCTGCGCGTCCAACGCTTCGGTCTCAACCTTCATCCTGGAACGTCCCTGACTGCCTCTATGACTCTAGGAGTGGTTCAAGTTCGTGGACCATGAGAAACTGCTGCGGGAGGGATTGGAGGCCGACCTTGCCGCCCTAGCGGATGAGACGCAGGAGCTAAAGCTGAAGACCATCCAGCAGGTGCGAAGCTGCAGGCGCATATGCTTTCGTGAGGTCTGGGTGGCTCCTGGCAATTTTATTCCATAGATTACTTTTTCGGCAGTCCTCTTCCGCACCTGCTGGATGCACATAAGCAGGTGCGGAACAGTGCCTTTCTGACACTTCCGAGGAGGTATGGGAGTAATCCCGAGACGAGATGGCCGCCGGCTTGTAATGTCACACAATGCTTGCTGCTGCGTTTGTTGCAGCTTTGTCATTGCTGCTGCTGTGTCCCCGGCTCACACTGGCAGTTTTACACGCGCAGGCTTCTGATGTCTGCACCAGTTTCGGTCTTGCACTCAAGTTGACCGCTTCAGCCGCAGGGACTTCATATCAACATGCCTGTATTATCTTATGCTGTCTCGCAGGTGGAATATCTGCGTCTCCATATGAACGAGGAGATGGCCTCCCTGTCTCACCATGTGGCGATGCGGGACGATGCCATCACCAACCTGCGTCGCTGGCTTCGAAGGGCACAGCAGCTGGCAGCAGACCGGATGGCAAGGCAGCGGCATCGCCGCATTCTCTTAGCGTGGAGGTGAGGCAATATATATCGTTCTGGCAGGCAGCAGGGTTGAGGTTTGTAAGGTGACCTGGACGGTTTGTTGTGTACATTACGCATTGCAGGTACGTGGTGGATGAGATTGTGTTCCGCAAGGCAGCCATCTTGAAGTTGCGACGCAAGCGCGAAAATGCCCTGCGTGAATCCACCTTCCGGGCGTGGTATCTGCACGCTCGCGCTGCAGTTGCGGCGGGTGTCAAGCTCAAGTTCGCTGTGCAGGTGGGTAGTACGGCGACGAATGGAGTTTCTTGTTATGGGCAATCGCGTATGCTGTATCTAGGAGATGCAGGGTGCGGCGTCCATGAATTGGGTGCTTGGTTGCTGCTTCATCGCAATGTTGCTTGGGGCCCGGTTTGCATCCTCCGCAGCGCCGCTCGCACACGATCATGTTGCGTGTGCTGCAAGGCTGGCAACACGCCGTTGTCCATCGCGCCTGGCGCGGGCGCGCCATGCTGTCAGCAGTGCAACGGCGCGTCGCACGACGCTTGAGCAACGCCTTCGCTGCGTGGCGGCGACTGACAGTGCAGCGCGCGTTGGGCCGACGGGCACTTTTGCGGGCTCTTCATGGGGTTAACATGAAATGGCTGGCGGCGGCGCTGACGGCCTGGCGGGCGGCAGCGCAGACAGTGCACCAGAAGGCTGTGCAGGTGAGAGTGATCTCCACGTCCTCTGCTGGAAGCGGCCGTATATTGCATGCGCTTGGACGTGGGAGCGCACACATTGTACCGTTGTTCGTGCTTGGTCGAGGAATCCGCGTTGGGCGGCAAGATGGCTACCAAGCGCAGTGAGAAGCAGTTTGCTTCTTAGCTTTCTATCCTAGCTTTCTGTATTCGATTTTCAGGACCCTCATCCATATTTAGTTCCGTGGCGTCCAGGTCCATCACCCCACCCTTTGACTTTGGTTACTCTTTCTTTCCCATCAACTTCTAGGCGGATTTGCTGGTGGCACGGAGGGCTGTTCGGTTGCAGGCGGCCATGCTGGACGCATGGAGGGACCAGCTCCTCCGCAGCCGTGCTGCCAACCACCACTTCCGATTTGCCATGATGCGGAAAGCACTGATGGCCTGGCGGCAGGCCACAGCGGCTGCGAGCGCAGCACGGGTCGCAGCAGAGGTACTAGCCCTGGCCCGGCCAGCGGCGCTGCGCCGCCATTTGCTGCTCGCATGGCACGACATCGCAATGACCTTATCCTCGTTGAGGGCGCGGCTGAACCGCTACGTGATGGCGCGGTCGGTGGCGATGCTGGGCCGGGCGATGGCCGCATGGGCGATGGCAGCGCGCGACGGGCGACGGCGGCGGGCGCTGCTTCGTCGGCACCTGGCTGCCCAGGAAGTGCGAACGGCGGCAGCGACACTTTCAGGCTGGCGGGCGGTGGCGGCGCGGACGGCATGGCGGCGCGTGAGGGTGATTGCGGCGCTGGCACGCGCGTCGACGAGGAGGTATGTCATGGGGCTGGTGGGCACCTTCTCGGCACTTCCATTCGTTTCTTCCTTTTCATACTTCGTGTTATACGAATGCGCTGACCCTAATGCTGCCCTGCCACCCCCTCGGGCGTCGGCACTTCCTATGTCTTCAGGCTGACGGCAGTGCTGGTGTCGTGGCGTGCGTACGCTGGCCATCGTCGCGCCATCGCCGGTCGCTCGGCACTGGCGATTGCCCGGCTGCGGCGCATGCGACTGGTGGCTTGCTTGGGCGCCTGGCATCAGCTGGCAATCCGCCTAGACGCCGCTAGGGGAAACCTGCTGTCGCTGTGCAAGAAGCTGCTGGTGAGGTGTTAAGTGCTGTACGTATGAATGAAGGGGTTTCTGTTTAGTGTGCCAAAGCAACTCATGCTTGTTACGGATCTTCCCACGCCACTGTCCCCCCGAGATTTTCTGGTTGCAACGGGCAGGACAATACCCGCACGGAATGTAACGGCCCCCAAGCCCGGCGCCTGGCGCGTTGCTTGTCTATTGATATTCCTGTCCTTCATGTACCTAACCACTATCCCGAACCTACTGGTTTGCAGACTTGCACATTGTCGACAGCCTTCCGAGAGTGGCGTCTGCTAACGGCCGCAAACGGCGCAAGCCGTTCCGCCGTCGCACGTGCGTTGCCGATGAGCACTCGGGAGCTGCTCACCCACGTGTTGGCGACCTGGTGGATACAACACTGTGCCGTCATGCCCGTGGACAATGAAGATCTGGCGCCAGTGCGCAGTACCATTGCTGCATTCGATGGATCTGCTGCCGCTGCCACCGGCGTCAGCCCGGGATATGCTGTTGCGGCGGCGACAGCCGCCGCCGTCATTAATCGCGTGGGATCCGCCGCGGGAACGCCGCGACAGTCCCTGACCCAGCTGTACGAAACAGCGGTCCGAACCACGACGTCCCTTCCGCTTCATTTGGGATCCCGGCCGATGGCAGCCGATCTACCATTGCCACAGCTGACTGGCGATGGTGATGGCGCTTCTCCATGGGGCACGGATGCGGCATACGCGGGTTCCCCATTGCCACTGCAACGGGGCCCGCGTGGCAGTAACACCGGCAGCAGCGCTTCGGCGGCAGCTGCGGCGGCGGCGGCAGCCGCCGCTGCGGTCGCCGCTTCGGCGCCGCCGCCGGATTATGGTCACTCAGGCGGGTCCTTTACCCCGCCGCACCCCCGTAGCCGCTCTTACAGGGAAGCATTGGTTGCGGGGGCTGCTGCCGCCGCAGCAGCCGTGGCGGCAGCCGGCCGCGGCGCACACAGCACTGTCGCTAGCAGCACCGGCGGTGACAGCCGCCCCAGCAGTGCTGGCCGTCTGCGTGCCACAGTGTCTGCTGGTGTCGGCAGCGCCGCTGGTCCGTTCGTGCCCGCCAATGCCGCTGTCATTGGGGCGGGTTCGTCTCCGGTGCTGATTGAGATGGCTCCGGGACGTGGTGGCGAGGGTCCACTGACACCGGTGGGCCTTCCAGAGCTGCTGGATGGAACTGTGGGCCTTGGTACAGAAGGTTCCCTTCAGGCTGCCCTCCGTGCCCTGACACAGATGGGTGGTGAGGCGGACGGCGGGGCCACCCCGGCATCAATGGGGCCAGCGACTGCAGCGGCGTCAAGGCCGCTATCGCATCCGCTGCCGACAGATACGCTTCACGAGTTACAGTCTTCGCTTCAGCTGGCAGCAGAAGAGCGATCTACGGATGCTACTCCCGCCGTCGGACGTGCGATGGGATTTGCGGTTGGAATCCAGGCTCACGAGCTCCGCTCACTCGGCTTGCCAGCGGCGCCGTCATCGACCACCCCGGCGCTTACAATGGGTCTCTCGTTGGCTCGCCAAGTCCATCCCTCTGTTGGCCGAAGGGCTGCAGCAGCGGCAACGCACAGTGGCCTGGGCCGTTGGCTCGCATCGACGGTGCTGCTACGCTGGCGGCGTGCTGTGGCAGCTCGGCGTGAGTGGATGGCGTGCCTGGAGGGCATAGGGGACGCGCGTCGGCGGCAGCTGGCGAGCGAGGTCCTTGGAGCCTGGTGGCATGTGGTGATAGCAGCTAAGGCAGTGGCCATGGCAGCTGAGGCGCTGGCAAACCAGGCCAAGGCACGGGGCAGCCGCCAGATCCAAAGAGGGGTGCGTGAGCGTGGCCGGAGTATGAGCACCATGTTTAAAGGCCGGGCAGATTTGGGGCTATACATACACAGTGTATGTTCAGATACCTTGTTCAAGTGGCATTTCAGTTTGGACCCATCGACCCGGATTGCACTGGAAGTTTCTCCTTGTCGTATCCCAATGCCGTTGCCCCTGTTTTCCGCTCCCAGGCGCTGATCTTGTGGCGCACCGCGGCTCGCCGCCGTGCAGCTCTTCGCGCCCTGCTGGCGCGCCAGTCTGCCCGTTTCGGAACCGTTCTGGTCCGCAGGGTGCTGTTGGCGTGGCGTGAGGTTGCTGCTGACCGGGCGGCCGCGGAGAGGAAAGTGCAGCGGTGCATGAAGTGAGTGTACGTAGTGACATGGGTAACGTCTTATTCAGTGGTGTTATGGCGTGTGCGTGTGATTTGCTGCGTTTGGCTCTCCCTCTTCCATACCTTTTCCGCTTAACCCGTCGCCCAGTGCGCACCCCAATATTTCTAACCTTGATCTCCACTTTCACCCTTTCCGCGCCTTGCTGTGCGAGGGATATAAGCCACTTGTCGTCTACATGCCTTTGGCATAGGCACCAATTGTATGCACCTGATCGTCTCTTAATCAGCTCCATACCAAACAGGCGTGCCACTGCTTAGACCGCTTTCCGCACCACCCTACCTCAACTTTGCCCTCGTTTTTGCAGCCGCCGTGAACGGGTTCTGTTGTCCAGTGCACTGCGCTCCCTTCGCGAGGAGGCCGCTAGAGGCTCTGCCGTTCGGGGAGCAGCGTCACAACTGGCCGATCGCCAGGCGCGTGGGCTGCTTGCCAACATGCTCAAGGGTTGGAGCGGTGCTGCGGCAGCCAAGCGTGAGAGCACGACGCAGAAGACACGCGCGGCACGCTTCGCTGCGCGGCGGCGTTTGACGGGTGCGTTCCGCACGTGGCGGTGGGCAGCTGAAGCGGCGAACGAGCGGGACGTGGTGGCCACGAGGGCGAGCCGAGCACTGGCGCTGCGGACAGCATTCAGCGGGTGGTTGTACGTGACCGCAGGTAAGCATGTAGACTCTAACCGTCCAGTGCAAGATTGGGCGGGCGGGCCTTGTATTCTGTGTCTCAGCTATAGGACGCCGCTTCAACGTTCAGCCACCAACGCAAAGCAAGATGTGTATCACATGTTTCTTGGCAACGAGGGCGTTTTGAGCCGACAGCTTGGTGTTGCAATTGCAGGAAAATCAACTATTACTGCCTAGCAATGATAGACAAAACGTTTGCAGTTTGTCCAATGTAACATGCCCATCTCGCGCTCCTCTTTTCGTGCAGAGTGCCACCAAGTGGGCACCGTGGACTTGGTCTCATCTTTGCGCCGTGCCACCACCTGGCGCGAACGGCGGCTGATGAGGGCCTGCTTCTTCTCGTTGGCGCAGTACAAGGAGTGAGTGGTTCAAAGAGACGGAAAAGGAAGTGTAGCATTACGAGGATGCTGCCGCCGTTTCTTGTCGCCGCGCCCTCAATGCGAAACCACGAAGCGGGCGGAGACAGCTCTCCTCACACAGTTGTTGTAAATTTGAGTTTTGAAACGGTCTCGTAGTCCGTAGTCCATGGGCCGGCGTCCTGATCAACCCTCTGCATATCAAGGCACACCTTAACTCTAAATACTGAGTCCTATGACCCGGATGCTCCTCTGCCCCCACAGTCAGCGGCTTGACCTACACAGCCGCGCGGTGGCCTTTAGGAGCCAGAGCACCAAGGCGGCTATAATGGCTGCCTGGCGTTTTGAGGTGGCGTGGGTGCGCTGGTGTCAGCAAGAGGCGGCAAAGATACAGTCCAGGTGGGGGCTCATGTTGGCTGCAGGACTTGGTCATTTGGAGCCAATGACCCGTTTATTGACCACACACCCTTGAATGCGTCATGGCAAAGGCCGTGGCCTCTAGTGCACGTCGTGGGTATATGTATGCCTGCAGACCCGGGCTATCGCCCCCCCTAGTTCCAACAAGGCCCTTGCCGCTTCGTACCGGCGCCGGAATCATGTTCGAGTGGAATTGTCATCCGTATATCAACGTCTTACTTTTCTTCCGCGCTGCTCAGCCATCACCCGCCACGCACCCGCCACGCCTTAATAATTCCCCCTGTGCAGGGCCACCAAGCGCATTCAGGCCCATTGCCTGTCCTCCTGGCTGGCGCTGACTCAGGTGGCTGCAGCTGCTCGTCTGGCAGCTGGGCAGCTAGCTACCCGCAGGGGCCGAGGCCTGCTGGGGGCGGTGCTTCTGGCTTGGCAGGGCGCCGCACAGGAGCTGGTGGCTGAGCGGGCCCGGGTGGCGGCTTGCGCACGGCGCATCCACAGGGGTTGCCTGAAGCGGGTAAGGTTTTCTGATAGCCGACACGGCTGATGTATAGTGGGGTATTCTACCGAGATTGGAACAAGAGAGGTTGCTTTGTGTAGGCGCGACTTTGGACTTGGTAAATAGTTACGCGGTGCTATCTTTTCAAGAGATTGGCTCTGGTCAAAGCGACAATGTGAACCCCCTTTATTGCTTTGCTTTCGGCTGCCTCCACTATTTGCTCTTGGCTGCCTTCTGGGTTCTGGCATCCTGGTATACTTGGCTGTGCCACAGCCGAAACATAATCGTTCACGCCCCTCAAAGGAGGTCGGCCCTTGAAATGCATTGTCCCCTTTGTTGGGGACCCTATCTAGAGGCTGAGCCGCAATCCAATGCCAATGTCAAGGCCATGCGTCCCTTTGGGCTCCCGTTGCTTGCTGGCGCAGGTTATTATAGTCTGGCGCGAGGTGACAGCGCAGCGTCGCGCAAACCGGATGCGGCAGCTGGCGGCGTGCAGGCGAATCGAGGGCCATCGAATGCGGTGGGTGTTTGGATGACACGTGGACTTCAAGAATGGGAGTCGGTCTTCATGAGCTCGAACTTAAGTCTTGTTTCTTGCAAGCGAAGGATTGAGGGGTGGCGCTATGGGTGGGGCACGCGTCATCTGTTACGGATTCCAGCCATTTCCGCGAAATCTCTGGAAAAAACCCGGCGCCATTTTCAATTCGAGCCATAACCTCGATATCTCTGCTATTTTCGACCCGGCGTTCCCTCCAGGCGAGTGCTTTCGGAGTGGGCCGCAGTGGCCTCTGCTTTCTGCGCTATAAAGCGCGAGGCGGATGGGCGCTTCGTCGCCCACAGCACCGCACTGCTCTCCGCCGCCTTCAGCGCCTGGGCCGAACTGGTGCAACTCCTGCGTGCCGCGCGTGCCGCGGCAGCGACCCGCGGAAAGGTTGCTGATCGCGTGCTGATGTGTCATGCGCTTGACGGCTGGATGACCGCAGTGGCGCTGGCGCGCCGTGCGGCTGCGGCTGCAGATGCTATGGCTGCGAGGCGCGCGGCGGCGGTGCTGCCGGCAGTGCTGCGGGCATGGGCCGCGGTGGCATGTGAGGACGATACGCGGCGGCTGCAGCTGGCCGCGCTTCGCAACCTTGTTCTCCGTCGCCGAATGGCGTTTGCCAGGCGTATCTTCGGGGTAAGACCATTGAGCGGCTCTCGGCCACAGGACGTGTTATCCGTTGGACGTGAAGCTGCAGCCCTGTATTTACATTTGTTTGTTTGCAGGCACTCCTATTTGACTTAGGGCAAATTGTTCGGTCCCATGCCCTGCCCATACCACCCTACAGGCGTGGCGTGACACTGTCCTTGAGCGTCAGGCTCGCGACGATGAGCTCAAACGCTGTCTTAAGCGCAAGAAGCTGGCGTTTAGTCTTTTCAAGCAATGGTACTGGGAGGCATTCGATTCGGATGTTCAGGTGCGTTCCGATGCGGTCTGCGAATGTTCCCATACTTAGGTGTCCGTCCTGGGGGCTCCTAGCACCCGCACCATACAGCGCACCTTGTGTCCGAGGATGTTTTACCTTTACTATGTATTTCACTTCTTACGGCGACCGCATCGCTAGGTACGGTCCAATGATGTCACGCGTAAACATCTCGCACCAGCACTGCCGTCTACGTCCTCTACTCTCCCCCTGACCTTGCCTATCCTACCCAACCTCGCCACAGGCTACCATTTGGCGAATGTTTCACTCTACCGACCCCGCGGCTCACAGCCCCGAGCCCTCGTCCCGAGTTCCACCGGTCCTCCGGCAGCCCCCTTCGTCACTCCACCAGTCGCTTCCCTCCTATCTGCTGCAGCACCAGCAGTGGGTTAGCCGGCGCGCCGGGTCATCGTTCAACGGGCCAGCTGGCAGGTGAGGGAGTGTGCGCACCGCGCAATGAATTGTGAACACCGTTGTGGGTCGGGTTTGAGAGAAGAAGTGCCATATGCATGATAGGCATTGTATGGACAGTGTAGTGTGCAGTGTACGTGGTAGGGAGAAGGCGCAGAAAGGAGCGTATTCCCTTGGGTGTAGGAACTGATTGCGTGCCCGTGCTGCGTGTCCTGTTCTTCCACGTACCGTGACGTTCGGTACACGTGCCCATTGCATAATGTCGATACTTGGCTGCCTGGCAGCCTGGCCATGCCGCCTCCCCCCTCTTACCGCTGGTGGTGACGACCTGCAGGGCCATGGATCTGCCCCCCTTGGAGCTGGAGCAGCACCAAGGCCAGGCCATCGCTGATCTTAGCAGAGGCAGCGGTGCACCAGCCGCGACAGAGTCCCGGCCTCACGCCCTCCCCGCCGCTGCCGAGCGTTCCGTCTCTATGCGCATAGCCCAGGTGAGCAGCGGACCCACGCAGCTGCAGACACGGCTGCACCCATTCGCACATGCGCTGCCGTCGCCTTTCCTCTTGCCCGAGGCGGTTCGCACTTTGGCGTCGACTTTTGATGCCGTGGCGGCGCCGACGGGGAACCGTGCGCGGGGGCCCACAGCGTCGGCGCCGCCGCAGGCGCCGGTGGCCCAAGCGTCAGCGAGGGACACAGCGACAAGTTCAGCGGGGACGAAAATCGCTGCGGGAGGCAGCCGCCCTTCAGCGGCGCCTCGGGTGCAAGCCTATCCGACCATCCATTCGTCGGATTCATCGGGGTCAGACCCGGATGACCTCAAGAACCTGCCGGCGGGAGTAAAGGCGGTGGTGGCCACGGCGGCGCCACGGCGCCGTACCGACGCGGTAGTTGCACCCCCTGGCAACCGTCCATCACGTTCACTCGGGCGACCTGATGCCGGTCCCATGGGGACGATAGGCCGGAAATCTACAGTAAGCAACCAGGCACAGACGGGATCCAGCTTCAAGACCACGAGGTCTGTCGGCCCTGCCAACTCAACCACCACTAGCGCCACCGCCACACGGCGCCCAGGTGCGTCATCCGGTTTGCCCGCGGGTCGACGTTCGAGTGCGGGCCGCAGCACTGCGGTTGCTCCGGCAATGTCGTCGTCTTCGTCGGTAGTTATGCCGTCGGCTTCACGCGGCTCCGCCAGTGACGCCGCGGCGACGGCCATGGCAGCGGCAGCTGCGGCGGCAGCCGCCGCTTCATCACCAGGTCTCGAGGCGATGAGCGCGGCGCTCAATGTTGCGCTTCGCAGCTTAGACTTAGCGGCTGGAGTAGTTCAGGGCGGCGTTTCTGGCACAGCGGCCAACTCTACTCCCACCGTTGGGATTTCCGGCCGGCCGTCGCGGTACACGATTAGCAGTGTCGGCAGCGTGGGTCCAGCGTACCTGGGAACGCATGGCTCCGCCGAGGGGTCCACTGGCACGGCGCTATCACCTGGCAATGCTTTAGGGGGCTCGCCGCTGTCACCACCGCCACGCGCGCCATTCAACATCACTTACGGGGACACGCCTGGCAGCGGCGGCCCTGGCAGCGGGGTCCCTGGCAGCGGCAGCGCTGGCGTGCTACCTGGCGTCGTACCCAGCTGGCGGCAAGTCGCCAACAATCAGCTGTATAGCTGCGAAGAGGAGTGGTACGGCGAGTTTTTCAACGGCGATTTGGGTCCGGTGAGCCCGATGTACATGGGCATTTCCGGGACTGGTGCGCCTGCGGGCATGGCTACCGCTGGTGTCCTTGTGTCACGTGGGGACAGCAGATGTGGGACGGCGGAGAGCGCTGAGACCGATGCCGGTGCCGCTGACATAACCTCGCTGGTTACTACGACCTTGTCCGTGCATTCAATGCCAGTCGAAGCTGGCGGCAGCCCCCGTGATGGCACGTCTGAGGGCGGCGCCGCGAGCGCCAGCGGCAATGGCAGTGCTGTTGGCTCCCGGCGCACTAGCTCCGAGGATGGCCCCGGTATCTTTCCCCGGCACTCGATATTTCAGAATGATGTGTACCAGCCTCGGACGAGCGAGCTGTACGTGGGCCACGAGGGGCTGATTGGCGGGGTGGGGAGAATCCTGGAGGGCGCGGAGCACGAAATGGATGAGGACGAGTTCGTGGCGGCCATTGGGGCAGCGGCTGCGGCTGAAGAACGGCAGGAGCAGCAACGGCGGCAGTAGCGGTGGTAGCAATAGGCAGGGCTGCGGCTGCGGAAAAGCTCCAGTAGGGGTAGGCTCATCTGTTGAGTGGGTCCCCAGTAAGGTTCACCAGCTGCACCATGTGCCACCTTTTGGAGTGTGGTCGGCACGCCGCTAAGGCGGCTTGAGGTGCGGATGCCAGTAACTTTTGATTATTACAGATACAGTAAGATCGGGGCGCTTCTACGAAGGGGGGCATGGGCTCTTGGTTGAGCGCATAGACGGAGAAAGAGCAGTAGAGATAGGTCGGATTTCAGTTGACCTTTAGCGGTCCCATTAGGGTTGAACGTGGGCACATACAGGCAGGGGTGCTTGCCCTTGGGAATGAGGTCCGATGGCAGAAAGTAGACTTAGCTTTCCTAGCCGCAGGGCGCTTACTTTCTTTTTATGCCCGGTGGCATAGCGGCGCAGGTGCGCGTTTTGGTTTCGCTGCCCCTTATCGGGTGCTAAACCAGATGATAGGCTGGAGCTACGCGGGTTCTCTTCTCTCGGTTCTGCTAGGCGTGAAGGGTGACTGAAAAGGCCCAGTGGCCATCAACAAACATAAGATAGCCTAGCCATGCGGATGATACGATTATTTAAGCGTCCACAGTGACTGGTTTTTAACGGATCGCCGGGGGAATTAATTCATTGTGGGATGCTGGTGCTATGTGATTACCCGGCTGCGTGTGCCGGCGAGCGCCAGCGCCCACTCATCTCTTTTGCTTACACTTTGTTAAAGAGATGGTCGCATGGTCTTCATCCATGAGTACATTTGGGGGACCCCATGCATGACGCACATGGGGGGAGCGTACACGCTTTATTATTCCATGGATATGCCGTAAAGTAGTTTGCCAGGGTTTTCTGGTCGTGGTGACTTGCTGTAAGAGGGTTGGACTTAAAATGATAACCTGACGGGCTGTTTGTGGCACGATGTGTGACGCTGGCGAGCGTACGCGTGGGTCTGGAAATGGACCGCACGCTCAGTAACGTGGGCATCCCTGGACATGCTAAATTATCGACATGTTAGTGCAAGTGTGTTCGTTGATGTGCATATGGTCGCGTGTGTGGGGGGGCCGGCGCGCGCGCATGCGTGGGCAACAATTCCATTTCATGCTGGTTGTGCGCGACTCCTGCAAGCAGTGTTTTGAGAACCTGAGATAGGCCGTTGGGTTAAGACCGGGTAAGGGACCCTGCACACCACCGAAGGGTTCCCTCGCCAAGGTCGACCCGGTCCGGCCTGCGAATGGACTCGAAGTCCATGTCGGTGTGTGTGTTGTGTGCGTGTTGTGTTATGTGTGTGTGTGTGTGTGTGAGAGAGAGAGAGAGAGAGAGAGAGTGTGTGTGTGTGTGTCTCCGATAATGATCTTGGCCGCGAGACGCGGAGGCCGCGAGGACGGAGTGTGTATATGTAGAGATGCGTGTCTTAGGGATAAAATCCTTCCTTGACAACACGATGCGTGCGGATGTACCATGTTACGGAACCGAGCGTACACCGAAGCGATATCCACCTGTTGGGGCCCTGACGTTACCAGCATTTCTGGATGGCATGGCGCAAGAAATGAAAGCGGAGTTTCCCATCCGCAATAAAACCTCAAGGCGTCTACCTGCAGTGTCGAGCGATGCTGCGGTGGTTGCCTGTCCAAACTGTGCACCGCTGCAGAGCGCGGCAAAACACCTCATCAGGCATTATATAACGCGCGTCGAGCAAGTCGGCTGGGACTCGTGTATAAAAGTGTGGCATTGACAATTTTACATGTACTAAAATCGGGTCAGGAAACCATAAACAATGTTAAGTCAAGTCACATAAACTTTATGCTGTCCCTGACGTTGGCTTACTTCAGTGGACGCAGACACGTTGAGAGCCCGACATGGCCCCCCAGGTCATTACATTTCCACCCTGTTTCCATACAGAAACAAACCCAAACAAAAATCTAAATCCGTTACAAACCCAAACAAAATAGAGAGAATATTGTGTTAGCGATTTGTTAAACCCCCATGTATATGTTTAACACGCAATAAACGCGGTCGTCACCCACGTCAATGCGTTGCGACTAAAATCGTGCTAAGCGTAACGCGCGACGGGATCACCGGCTGCGAGCCTTGGAGTTATTCATAGCTACATGCAAACGGGATGCGAAGACCCTATGGCAACGTCTGAACGGTAAGCCAGCGTCCAGATGCAATGTGGAAGACGTGTCGGAGTGGACGGACTACTTCGATCGCCTTTATAATGCCTCAGCCTCCTTCGATGAGGTGCAGGAGGCCCGTGTCTGTGCCATTCTCAACTGTATCAATCTCGGTGCGGGCTCCCAAGTCGGGGCGGCGTGGCGTGATTCCGAACCGGTGCATGCTAGACGGTCTATGGCCGACACTATGAATGGTCCGTTCACTCTTGAAGAGGTTGAGGCGGCTTTGTCGTCCCTGTCTAATGGGCGTTCCCCGGGTCTGGGTATGGTTCCGGCCGAGTGCTACAAGTATGCCAAGCGAATCCCTCGTGAAGGTGACGAGGACAGGGTGTCTGTCAATGTTATTGCCCCTGCGATTCGAGACCTTTTCCAGCACATTTGGGATACAGGGGATGTGCCTGACCAGTTTTGCGTGGCGTCTCTCAGTCCGTTGTTTAAGAAAGGCGACCCCAGGGTCAAGGACAACTACAGGGGTCTAGCTGTGGGATGCGCCATTGCCAAATGCTATGCCACGGTTCTCGACAGGCGGCTGGCAGCTTTCGGGGATAAAGATGGTGTCCGGTGCCGTTTTCAGGCTGGGTCCCGTCAAAAGCGCAGTACAGTTCATCAGTTGTTCGTTGTTCGTCATCTTAAAAGTCGTTATGAGCGGCCCGG